TAGGGAAAGTTATCTTTAATTATCTAAGGAGTTTCTATTTCTAGATTCAATTTTAAGTACCAGAGATGAGGCTTAGAAATGCTGTCCCTTATGCTTACTATCAACAGCCCTTATCTCCAGGACCTTATTATTTGTCAAATGCGCACAAATACTTTAATGGAGATGATCTTTTCGAATGTAAAGCGAAATAACAGGGAAGGTGTTTATTTAAAATGTGTTCAAGGCAGCACGACGTCCTTCCGTGTATTTATTGTTTTTTAATCTAAATCTTCAAGTACAGTCTCTGTCTCTCGCACACACATACGATCAAGTTCTTGTTATTTGAGGGAGGATAGATGAAAACTTACAACCCATTTTGCGCCATCATTTATGTCCACCGGTTGAAAAGTCGAAGGTGTTTTTGAGAAACAGAAAATTACTTTCCTTCCTTAAAAAAAAAAAAAAAAAAAAAAGGGAAGTTGTTTGTCCTGTTGTAGTTCAGTTTGCATGTTTAGTAGGTTTCGTGCTCGGGGTCTGTAACCTCTGGTTGTATTTTTCTCTTTTTTTTTTTCCTCACTCTCCTCCCCCTCCTCCCCTCCCCACCCCCGCTTGACACCTCATACGCGATGTTTCCTCTTGGGTGTATTTGATTAATTGGTTCTTGATTTGTAGTCGAGAGACTTCTTGCGAACGTTGGTCCGTGCTCACATTTTCCTTTCACAATCTCTTTTGGTTTTCTTTTTCGCACAACACTTCTGTTGACCACCCAGTCCAAAATACTCTTTTTCACACCACACCTCCCCCCCTAATAATATATATTAGGTATAAATTGAGGTGTGCTTATTGTGTTATGGGTATGGCAACAGCCCCAGGTCGAGCAGCTGCTTCACCCCTTCTCCCACATAGGTGGGATTACATGTGCCTATTTGCAGCTATAGGAAGGGATACTCCGAGTTTCTCCATGATGAACAGGACACACATGCACTTTGGAAATTAGGTTACTAAAAAAGACCCTGAGATTCGTCTGCCGCTGTTTTAAAGTCACCGTAGGAGCGTTTTCTTCCTCAGAAATAATGCAGAGTTCGAAGAAACTTTCCAGCATAAAGGAATATCGTGAACTCAGCTTCTTTTTTGCACAGCGAGTTTCCTGGGTGCGGAGCAAAAGAAATGGGTAATAAATAGTAGGTCGCATTTGTGGCAGACAATATTTAATCAGGAGAAGAGAAGGAGCAACACAGAGAGTGTTGGGCATCAATTTCACTTTGTTCCCTGCAATTTGTCGCTGTGACGATATACTTTGAAGTGAGAATAAGTTATTTAAACTCTGTGAGTTGTTATTGCGGGCGGGTGGCATAGACAGACAGACAGATACTGACCGATTTTTGTGCAGTGGAGCACTCCCCGCAACACAGATTTGCTACACGAGGGTTGGAGGGTGTCCATTGCAGCAAGACCTAGTTTAGTCCCTAAAATGCTTTAATTACACCGTAGTGGGAAAAGCGTGATGGGGACTTGAAGTCTAAACGTCATTATATCATCCGGGCTGTAAGTGTCTGTCTCTTTTATGGTCTTCCAGGCCTGCAGAGGGAATTATCTCTCTATGCAAAAGGATTGCCAAAAATATTAAGGAAATTATATAGGGATTCATACACGGCTATCGATTTATCTCGCGTATCGATCCCGCACAATAGATTACACATACACAGCCTCTTGTTATGTTTGCTATCTGAGCTTACTTGACATTTCTGAAGTAATTTAGTTAAGAGGAAATGAGTTGTTCCCAGTAGAGAGAGCAAACGAGTGGAGTGAAGGTAGCCAGCGTGATAAATGGCTCTTTCATTTGGAGATCTCCAGAGCTCGTTTAAGGCTAATTTTCTGTATTAGCCCCCTTTGAGCTATTAATGCAATAGGCAGGGACCGTGGCCCCTCGTCTCTTAGCTGCCCCATTAGAGCGAGCATTAAGCTACCAAGGCTGAACTCTGCTGTGGTGGTGGTGGTGGCGGTGAAATAATGAAAGGTGCTTTTTAAACTCTCCTAATCTAAAGTGGCAGAGGGTGGTTAATACGATTTGAAGGGGGCTGGTCAATGAACAATCAATAAACTAATAATGAGAAGGATGCGGTACATTAACAGTCTAAAAATCCAACTAGACATTAAAAAATCATCGTTAACTCCTCGTTCCATTAAGATTTGGGTGGTGAAAGTGGGAGGGAGGGAGCCAGATAAATCATCAAGATGATAATAATCACCAAGAGCATTAATACCAGATTTAACTCGGCTTTGAGAGCTTACCGGCTGGGCGTTTTGAGGCCTTTCCCTCGCTTTCTGCTGCGATGAAGGCAAGGTTTGCAGTGTGGCAGGAAGAAAAGATCGGGTCCCCTTGTCAACTGCTCATCTGAAATTTGCTTGGCACCGTCTATGGCGAAAGAAGTTGTCGTCTTGCAAAATCTTGCGTGGCCCGAGTCCCAAGTTAATTTTTTGTGACTCTGGGGCACAAGCAGTGACCTTAAAATTATCCTGATGTATTTATTTACTTTCAGCTGCGTCTGACGATCGTCCGCACACTCACATCTGATTTAGCACGAAAGGCCACTTTAACCCCAACACCTCAATTCATTGTCTCCTTCCAAACACGCTCTATTGTTCATACTGTTTTAAAGAAACTTATGAAAGGAGGTGATTTAACAATTTTTTTTTGTTTTGAACTCTTAATAATACAGCATAAGATTCCTCTCCACCTCTTCTTGAAATAGGCGGATAAATGATTAACTGGAAAATCACTCTGGCCTCAGCTTTTCAGGTGATAGATCTGGGAATCGGAGATGTTGCTTCGCTGCCACACAGTTTCGTGCTTTTCCCTGGATTACGCACTGAACCTTATGATCCCCTTTAATTGAATGCAAAACAATTTTGGAAGGAATACATTTCACTTTGAAATTTACTCCCGGTTTTCAGGGGAAAAGGGGCTGCAGTGGAGGAGAGGGGGAAGACGGGGGAAAGAGGAGGAGAGGAGGGGGACAGGGGGGACAGGAGGGAAGGGGACATGAACACACACTTTCTGTATTTATTCATTAAAATTAAACCAAGAACGGACCCTTTTAGTGTCATTTGGTAAGACGTTGACCCTGGACTTTCTAGGCTAGAGAGTCAGATCAAATCATCATTAACAACAATGTCCTGGTGTTAAAACAAAGAACTTTTTACTCATGTCAGGCCCAATAGGCAGATAAAAAGATTTGGAGGCAGTTTGATAGCTCATTAGTAATAAGTTTGTCCATGACATTTGCTAGTAAGATATATAAGGAATATTTCTTCTCGATAATTGATTGATTGACTGATCGACCATCATATTATTCCTCAGGGTTATTGCAACGATATCCATAGCTTAGAGCCTCGTTATTCAGCTATTTTCAAGATATAATCCTATCTATTTGTTGATTTTTAGTTTTGAAATGCCCTTTTATTTCCATTTCTTCTTGCCCGTGCGCATTTGTGCGCGTTTTCAGGCGTTCGTGGAGAGTCAACCCAACAGAGAACCACCACCACCACGAAAAAAAGAAAAAAAAAAAAAACCACAAAACAAACCCCCAAACCCTAAGACTTAATGTATGCACAGAAAATTGTAAACATGTAAAGAACTGAAAGCTTCACGCTGAGTTTCGCCATGCTCCATTTCCCCACCATTTCCTGCTGTCGTTTTAAAGCGATCTCACTCATCTAGAGATCCCGTTTGCAGGAACAGTATGCTTATAATTACTAACAAATCAAGCGGCTACTGTTGCTCTCCCGCTTTATTGATAAGCTGAAGAGAAATGAAAGGGTGAGAAATGACAAAGAGGCTGGAAGTAACCACAGGAGGAGAAAGACACACACACAAAAAAAAAAAAAAAAAGAAAGAAAAAAAGAGAGAGAGAAAGAGAAAGAGAGGAGAAAGAAAAGGAGAAGAGAGAAAAAAAGAGGGAAAGGAGAGAGGGAGAGAGAAATAAATAAAGAAAGCAGAGATTTTGGAGAGGGAATAATGTATCTGTGAGTGCTCACATAAGCACAGCAAACAGAGTTTGGGAGCGAAAGAAAATCGAATCGTTTCTACTGGGGGCAACAAGAACTACATGGAATAAAGTTAAAGCACAAGTGGTGGGGACGCTGCGCACATCCGTGTGGGTTATTCTGGACTATTTCAGAGGTTATGGCAATCCTTAACTAACTGGAAAAGTCGACATCGACTAAAAATATACTGTGCATTATAGTTTATTTACATATACGCAGGGATTTGCCACATGCAGCTGCACACACGGACGTGTATATCTCTTCACCCACTAAAACCTCCACGTTATATTATCTCTGGCAATGTCTGGGCTATATCTGAAAAGCTATAGCCATGATAAACATATAGATACGATATAGATAGAGATAATTCATTCCATGGCAAACACTTTTTTGAGGCAGCATTAGGTAATTTACAGAAGATATAGAGTCTAGATAGAATACATCTCTCTGAAGCTATGAAATTGCAATAGATATGCTTACACCGCCTGGTAAGCTTCTAAAATGGGTTTAGAGTTATTAGACTCCAACTGATGGGTATGTTCACACAGTCTTTTTTCGAGGAGGCAGTGGTAGGAAAAAAAGCTGAGGAGCTCTCAGCATAGCAGGGAAGGGAGCCAGCCTGCTTCCCCAAAAGCAATTTGCAAAGAGAAAAAAAGAAAATACTGAGCACTTGAAAATCCATATTTCAAAGGTTAACTAATGTAATGAGCGCTCCAAAAGGCCAAAGCGGGTGGGGTGAGGTACACTTCAGCATTGCACGGGTCCCTTGCTCTTTAGTGAGTTTGGACTAAGATCAGATGGTCGTGGAATTGCTGCCTCTTGTTTAATTTCTCAGTTCACTGGACAGTGACCTGATAAACTGGTCACTAAATATAGCCACTGTAAAGGTGTACTCGAACCACTGAGCCCGTGTGTTTGTCCGAAGTAAAAAATGCCAGTCATGAGAATCTGGCTGGTGGCACTGCTTTAATCTAACTTTATTTTTTTTAAAATTATTATTATTATTATTGAACTTTTTTCTCGATGCTTCACTCGAATGGCTTTACAGAACATCGCGTATGAAATAAGTGATATATCTATGTATAGTGGGGGAAAAGGGAGGGACACTTTTTTTTTTTCTCTGTCAGTGCTACCTCTGACACCCCAAACGAGTCTTTTCCTATAGAAACAATGGCACAAAAAAAAAAAAAAATCCTATTAATAGCAACGAAGGCAGGAGCGGGCCTCTAACTCTTTAATAACTGTTTCTGTGCCGTTCTCAAACTATTTGAAACCGCCTTTATGAGCTGCATAAAGTGCCTAACTAAAAATAATAGAGAAATAGGAATCCATTTCACTTCCCGATTCCCTGAAGTAAAGCCACTCAAAATAATTTGTTTATACTGGAGACTATATACATGGCATATGAAGCAATATGTATATCTACAATCGACATGCCTTTTGGTTTTTAGCTGTTATAGAGCTTTTATTGTGGGGGTCTGGTCTGGCAGTAGGAAATGATCTGTAATAAAAACAGTGAAACACGGTTGTGTCTATTCCATACACTGAGGTTATAAAATTGGCAATTGCCCAGTAGTTAGCACTTGGTAATATATTAGGATACCCGATCTTATTGTTTAGCAGCTCCAGACGACTTAAATATCCCCCTCAACCCTAATGGTTTGATTCTCCAGATATGTTGCAAATAAACAGGGTTTTTATGACTTAACTGACATGTATTATAACTACCTAAATAGCTGGCATATGTGCATAATAGAACCCTATTATTTGCCGAATTGGTTTTGCAATTGATTGAGTGGAAATGGGAGACTGTGAAGTAGTATCAGCTCGACGAGGGTGTGTAATCAATTAGTCTTCTCCTCTGAAACATGCCCGCTGGACTGCCAGGACTCTACCACCAGGAAAAAAAAAAAAAAAAAAAAACCCAAACCCAACCCAATTTCGGAGTATATTTTCTATAAGGAAAGGCGTGGTGCCGCGATTCCGAGAGGAAGCAGCAGTAGCAGCTGTCAGCTCTTATTAACTCCTGCATAAAACATACCTTAAGTACGGTTTGTTATCAATTACTTGCAGAAATGAAACAACTGGGAAAATGCAGCGAGGCTCCCTATAAATTAAAGCGATTGGTTGATTGATTAGAGCACCTGCTGTAAATCATCACGGTTACACACAATTATGAGGGAGCTATTTAAGTTCATTTGTAAACAAAATTCATGTCATGGGGGAATTGCTCTCATTTTTAGTTTAGCCGAATTTATTTTCTGTTTATTTCTGAGCGTGTCTGGTTGCTATTATAGGAAGTTGCTCGTTGTAATCCCCTTGGTTACTCTTAAAATAGCCTCACTAGTTTCTCAGAGAAAAGAAATATTTCCTTTTTATCGTGGACAGAATAACATGGTTTTATTTTGTTTAGTTTTGCTTTATGGTTTTGTTTTGATTTTTTTCCCCCATAACTTCCTTTAAATATGTGTTACAGTATCTAAATCAGCTTTCTTTAGGGGTGGGAGAGTTCCCACTACTTCACGGACAGCACAATATGATCAAGGTGGAGAACACCATGGTTAGATCAGATTTTTTTTTTTTTCCTGGTGTTCATTTTTTCTGAAGGAAAAGACTCATTTTATTTCATAAACCAGACTTAATAAAAACACAAAGCAATAACAGAGCTGTCTTCTGGTTGCTGTATCCTCCAGCCTTGATACTTATTTAAGACAGCAACTCCCTTCGTCTAGTGAATTTATTCCTGGCTCAGCTTAGCGGTAATGGAAACATTAGTAAAAAAAAGTAAATTCTCCTTTTTTTTTCCCCTCCAGAAAGGCGCTGTCCGTTGTACAAAAGGCATCGGGGGGCTCTGGGTGAGACACAGGCTCAAACCCGAAAGTTGCCAGGTGCTTGCCAATATGTATTTTATTTCCCAATGATCAAACCCTGCATAGAGGCTGTACTGCACCACCCTTCTCTCCATCCATCATCCATGGAGCAGTTTCCTAGAGGTTGGGGGAGCAGCACCCTTTAGGTTGCTGGAAGTAGCCAGAGATTCAAAATTCCCTTTCATTTGGCTGTTCTGTGCATGTCAGAGAGACTGTGGTTGTCCTGTGCTCCTTCGTGGTGTGACGGTTTCTCTCTCCCCTCTTCCCCTTTTCTTTCTCCAGTTCCAGTTCCTCCAAAATCTGTTACTTCTTTGATGATGAATAAAGATGGCTTCCTGGGTGGAATTTCAGTCAATACCGGAGAGGTGTTTTGCTCTGTACCTGGCCGCTTGTCTTTGCTTAGTTCAACTTCAAAGTATAAAGTTACTGTGGGAGAAGTTCAAAGGCGCCTTTCTCCTCCAGAGTGTCTGAATGCATCTCTCCTAGGAGGAGTACTTAGAAGGTAAGAGGTTGGGGCGAGTGTGTGAACATGCTCCTGTGTGGGCACCCGTGCATGCACCAGAAATGTTTGGTCAATGGTAAAGATGATTGTAAATATGCATTAATCTTATTGTCAAACCATGGGTGTATAATGTTCAGGGTAAGGTGAAAATAGGCTGTATTCAGACGCGTATTCAGACGTGTGGCAACTACAGAAAGATTTCACCTTGAACATTTTCTACCAAAGCATCTCAAAATGAAGGAACTGGGACAAGAAGTTTTTTCATTCTAGTACACGCACACCCTTTCTATCTCTTCTCCTCCCCCTCCCCCTTCTTTCTTAGCAAACGGACAAAACAAAATGCTGTGATGGGCATGTGGCAGTTAGATGTTGCGGGATGAACCTGGTGTGTTTCAGGACCTAAGGTATTTCAAGGGATTTCCTAGAGAAATCTGTGAGGTTCCTTGATAAGGCAATTAACATGGTGCCACACAGGACATTATTGAAATTGCCAGGGGATTAATAGGCAACCCGTGAGGTAGATAAGTACCTGACTAAAGGAAAACCGTCAACAGATAGCTCTGATAGTCAGAAGCTTAGTGCTTCATCTAGAGAAAGTTGTTAAAGGAATTACTCACAGTTGGTCTTCAGGCCTTTGCTGTTTAACATTTGTGCAAATCACCCACTAATGTCCTGGGGGATTTCGCCGAAGACCTCAAAAGGGTTGGCCTTATTGGTACTGAGGGAAATGAGGAGCAAGGGTTAACCTGGAGGCCTGGTTGCAGCTCCATCATACCAAGTGGGAGACTGTGCTTTTAGGTACCAGCGACAAGAACCTAAGCTCCGAGGTCACCAGGTGGAAAGACTATCAGGGAGAAAGGCCTTTATCTTCTTGAGCGTGACTGTGAATTGTCAGTATGACTTGCCTACAAGAAAGGTGGACTAAGGTTCTATCTCTGGTCAGAACAGAGAAGAAGTGATTATAGAGTATGAGGTACCAGTTCACTCAAGCCAGTGGAAAGCTGGGGGGATGAGGCTTCATTTTCTACGTGAGGTATACGCCAAACTGGAAAATAAAGAATAGCTTTGAGACAGAAGCAAATGCAATTAATTTGGGCCCGAATAAATTTTAGATCATGTTCAAAAGTCGCTAATCTTAGAGGAGGAAATATCATGCCACCCTCTGTAGCAGCAACTTGGCAACGTTGACTCTAAGGTGTTTTAAAATGGAGTTATTGTTTGCCTGGTTGGTTTTTTTTCCCTGCAAAAAAAAAAAAAATAATAATTCTGTGACGACGTCAGGGGCTCCAGCTTCGTGTCTGGAGAGGAGGGGGAAAGTCCTGCTACATACAGTCAGTCACCCAAAAATACACGTGAGAATTAGGGTCTCCTGAAATAGAAGCTGTTCCACGTGAATGTCTGTAATCATTGTTCAGCTGTGATCCTTGCCAGTGAGAGCAGCAGCGATTTTTACTTACAGATGCAAACCTGCCTGCTCGTTCTGTACAGCTACAAATGGAGCAGGGAGAACATCTGAGAGATGCGCTGTAGAAAATATAATTATCAAGGTAAAGAAACACCATTATTGAACTTCAGTGGATTTCTGGAGGTGGCCCAAGCCATAATCATTGGCTGCTGCTGACTTCAGTTCCTATCTTGCATCTAAATTTTAGACAAGCTTTTGGTTCAGAGTAGATGAAATGTAGAAAGCTGCTCTCTTGCAATTGTGCCATTTAACCCTATTTACTTGGATATAAAATAGTGGGAAGCCAGTCTGGCTTCTCTGTCATTCCTGGTTTCCTTTTCCTTAGTGTGACTGCTAATTCTTAAACAAATTTTAAGTAAGAACTAAGAGGTTTTGGGGGTCGACTTCGATCTTCGTGCTGAAACTCTCCCTGATTGCCAAGGTGGCAAGATTTCATCCCTGGGGGTTTACATATGTATAGGCGTCCTAACAATAGCTCTGTATTTCCCACCTATAGCTCCCTCAATCCTTTTATTGTCCTTATCAGCAACCTCCGACAGATATTCAAATCTTCCCTGGGGCAATCAGTTCCCCCTGTATAACGCACCCTGCCTTCGGGTGAGCTCTTCCTCTCAGCGTCGCCTTTCCGCACAAGAGCACACTCACACGCACGAAATGGTTCCTGAAGTTTCATAAAAATTTTCCTCCTTTTCTATTTATCCACAGGCACACACATTCTCCCTTCGAGCCTTTCAGTTTTGAGTTGGTTTTTTTGGGGGGGTTCCCCCCTCATTATTCTTCTCATTCTGGCTCTTTTGTGGAATAATTGAGGATTTAATTCTCCTCTTCTACCTTTCTACCCATCTCCTCACTCCATCCTAACACGAATTAGTGTCATACAATAGGAACCCATTTGCTCTGTAGATCAGAACCCTGTCTATTAATTATTGCTATCTGGCATTAATTGATTTCCCCGGATAAAATAAAGAGAAAAGTGGGTTCATCCCCACTCCCACCCCTGGGAGAAATTAAGCAAATCTCAGCAAACCCGAGCAGAAATCAGCACACCCAAAGTCCTTTAACGTCGAGGGAAAAACCCTCCCAGGCTCCACTGACTGCACAGACTAAACGTTTCTTCCAGGAACACTGCGGGGTTAATCACGATGTTAATTTCTTTGCAATTCTAGAGCCAAATCGAAAAACGGGGGGAGATCTTTGCGAGAAAGGCTAGAAAAAATCGGTTTGAATTTACCAGCCGGCAGGCGTAAGGCCGCAAATGTCACTTTACTCACCTCCCTGGTGGAAGGTAAGCCAAGGGTCGCAGATCCCTTCACACCCCTGCCTGCTCTGAACTCCTGTCTGACATTTTCCGAACCAAAAATAAAATAAAATAAAATAACCCCCAACTTTCGGGATGAGGTGGGAAAAAAAAAAACCAAACAAACCAAAACACAACAACAAAAAACCCAACCAAAAACTTGCAGAGGTGAAATTCAGGGCGGATTAGGATGAACATCGACACGGTTAAGGATCCCATGCCCCAAAATGTCACTGGCTGGAGGGTCATTGATCCGTCTTGGTGGCAAGAATGAGGTTGTGTGTGTGTGTGTGTATGGGTGTATATGTATGTATATACGTGTGTGATTCTGCAGAGCAGCCCCGTTTCTCATTGCTATTCGTTTCCAGCCGGTGCTCTCCCACTCCACGTCTACTCCATCCTCCTGCTAATTCCCTCCTCCGGAGGTTATTTATGGCCACTACAGGATGCTCAATGAGGAAAAAATAATACGGATTTTTTTTTTTTTTTTTAAAGAAAGCAGAGCAATTTCAGAGTCGCAGAATGTGGTTTACCTTCAGGTGGCTGACTAGAACTGACCAAAGAGAGAAGCTATTCCCGAGGGAGGAGGGAGGGAAGGGGAGACTGAAGTTTAGCCTCATTTCAAGTCAGCTAACGTCATTTCGGTGTGTTCGGCGTGTTTCTTTGATTTATTGTTACTGTACTGAAAAGTAAAGTTTAGAGCCACTAATATGTTTAGGATATGTGCTAAGAGAAGTTGGACTTTCTCCAAGAAACATAACCGGAATAGTATGGATGCAATTATGAATTATATGTATCTACATTACACATACACACCGAGAGGCGTATAAATAATCCACTTATCTCTTCTGCATATAAGCATGCATAAACATTTGTGCTAGATATTAACTTTTCAACTCTTTTGATTGAGTTATGTGAGCGATAAGACCTTACCGCATGCAGAGCTGAAGGCAGGCTCGCAAAAAGACGGGGGCTGGTGAAAAAGGAGCTCCTCCTGTTACCCGCTTAACCTATAGGTTATGCCGGGTGTGCAAAGCACAGCGCAGGTTACGGCTATAGGGTCGCGCTATAGGAGACGTGAAGCATTTCGGGTGTGACAACTCCCTTTTAACACCGGGCTCAGTGCAGCTTCACCCCCGCTGCGTGTGTGAAAACCGGGGCACACAGCAAAACCAGCCCTTCTCCGAAGCTGGCTTGAGCTTCAAAACCTTGTGGGGTTGCATAGTGATGCTAAAATCTATATTAAATGTGTAGCGAGGTGTACATTACCCTCCTCTCCCCTGATTTCCTTACAAATCAACAGTTTCCCTTGAGAGAGAGAGCTCCCTCCTTTTGGAAGAAGCTGCACCTGCTGGAGATTTATCTTTTTTTTTTCTTCTTCTTCTTCTTTTTTTTTTTTCTTTTTTTTCCCTAATGTCATCCCACAGTGGAAAAAATCAGCACGTGACCCCCCCTCCGGGCTCCTCCCGGTGTCTTCGCTTTCATTAAGCGGGTTGGTGATTAGCGAGAAGCCCTTGGAAAGCAGAAGATGACGTTGGAAAGCAACTCCTGATCGTTAAAAATAATGTAGTCCTGGAGTTATTAGACATATCTGGTTTGCGTGTTGGAAATCTTCCCCCTGGTCCCTCAGGCGGTGCTTTAAAGGGTTTAATGCTTTATTCTAGAGGGGCTGAGCTATAATCTGGTGGAATCCCCCTGGAGTCTAAAGGTTTTTTTTCCCCCCCTTCCTCTTTTCCTCCTTTCTGCAGCTACTGTCTTCTTCTTGTGGCATGAAGTACATCAGTAGGAGTTGGATGACACGAACCTCTGGAGGCAAGAAACCTGAAACCAGGCAGGCAGGAAAAGTGACAATTAGAATTAGAGTTAGAATAATAATTATTTTTTCCCAGAAGAGGTTGGCATTAGTTGCTGCCCTTCCACAGGGCAGAGAGGAGTTCCTGTTGCATGATGGTCAGTTAAAGAAAGCGGTTTAATATTTTCCATCGGAGGAAATGCAGTTATCTCCGTCATTTTATAGATGTGGCGATAACTGTGATAATGATGCAAGTGCTCTGCGTGTCTGTACAAACAAGTGTGTATATAATGTCCCACTAAAGATTGGCATTAATATTAACATTCTGTCCACATCTGTAAAATTTCGGACAGTGTTCTGCTGTATTGAAAGAGGAACGGTGTAAAAGAAGTTTGGATCCTTCTGTCTTTCGGGATTTAAGTTTCACTTTGGTTTTTTGGTGGTTTTGTTTGTTTTTTTTTGGCCCAGTTCATTTGAAAGTGTGTTTGTGTGTGTGTGTATGTATGTTACGTGTGTGTATGTATATGTGGGTGTACATTTCCCACTGTTCTGCACAATCAGCTGTGTGCGCACACGCCATCACAAGCCCATTGCAGCAAAGACAAACCCCACCAGCTGAAAAACTGTCCCATCAACTTACTTCTGCCCCCAAAATAGGGCTTGTGGAGGGAAAAAACGTATACCTGGAACCTGGCCCTAAGGTGCAAGGGATGGTAGAAGGTTCTTAAAGCCGGCCCGAAGGAGCTGGTCTCTCCCGGAGGGAGCGGTGGGCAGCAGCCCGGGGCAGGTCGGAGAAGCCCAGCCTGGGGCCGGCGGTGCCCGGAGGTGTTAATTGTCGCTCTCCTTCCCTCCAGGTGAGGCCGTTCATTTAGCTCGGGATTTCGGGTACATCTGCGAAACGGAGTTCCCGGCCAAAGCTGTTTCTGAGTACCTGAACAGACAGCACACGGACCCCAGCGACCTCCACTCCAGGAAAAACATGCTGCTTGCTACAAAGTGAGTGCGAAGTTGATTAACCCTCCCGCAACCCCCTTTCCCCGATAAAATCCTCCCCCTCCTTAAATCTTTCCTTTAAGCTCCTTTAAAAGCAGACGGAGTTTCCAGTCCCCAAATTATACCGGCCCCGCGGGGATGAAGGATGCTCGTACCGCCCTATAGGGTAGACCCTATAGCCTCTGCGTCCCTCTGCAATGGGGTTTCTAGCAACACACTCCGTCCCTATAGACGATGTAGGGGACTGTTCCCGAGCGACAGTACATCGTTTCCAAGCCACCCCCACTTAAAAAAATCTTTATGGAAAGGGGGTCAAAAATATATGTTTTGCTTCTACAGCATGTCTGTCTGTCCCTCCTCCTGATGCTCACACACACCTGTCTGCTCCCAAATTGCAATGTCCTTTCCATATAGTTTAATTAAAAAAAAAAAAAATAAAAAACGCCGCCACCATATACTGCTAATGGTCCTCGGTTTGTTGCCCCCAACCTATCTCTCTCCCTTGGGACTTTCTCGGTGGATGTGCTGTATCGGATGATTTACACTTGGCTGTGCCTCCCAGGCTACTGACTGAGTGCTTCATAGTTTGCTCAGGTGATGGGTGCTCTGTGTCTCCACAGGTCTATCCAGGAAAAAAAAAAAAAAAAGGCAAAAAAATAAAGAAAGAGAAAGAAAAAAATATCATCCCAAACAGCTCTCATTTATTTTGTGCTCTGGGACGTGGCTTGCCTCTGATGACAGTGTAATTTAAAGAAATATATGGAGGGTTGAGAAATCATTTGCTCAAATTTGTCCAGATGTTTTTTAGACGTGATTGGAATTTGATTGCCCTTTTCCGCAGGGTCAGAAGATATTAATGTCCCAGAACTTTAATTGCTCGCAGACCCTGCTTTGCTCTTTGAAGATGTAAAATGTTGGACTCATTACTGTTTGTTCTCCAAATTCAAAGTTTCCTCTCTTGCACTTTCTTAATGGATAATACACATAGAAGTAGACCTTTATCTTTCCCCACCCTCTGAAACCTTTAACCCACTGGGAATTTCAGAGAATTTCAGAGGATGAGAGCTGAACGCCTTTTTTAAGGGTTTCTTTTTTTCTTTCCTCCTTTTTTTTTAATCCCAGCCTTTTTTCCTCCAGCCTCTTGGTAGGCATCTGTCTCAAAGAGACTATTCCTTTGGGAACCCCACCAGCCCCCAGGATTTCTACGTTGCCTGGGCACTTGTTGACTTGAAGGCCTTTAGGACCAGAGCAATGCAAAAGAAAATGTGTGGGGGAATTCATTATAAAAACCAAATCTGAGTTTTCAAAGATGTGGGCAAACAAACAAGAGCCGGATGTCAAATCTGATGTGTTAATAGGGATGCCACCCCCTAAAATAAACCAGGAAACACTAGCTTTGCTCCTCATGCGTTGAATAAGCCAACACGGAGTCCCAAAGTCCCGATCTTTCTCCACAAGGTGGCCCGGCCTGAGCAGTGGCAGAGGAGGCTTCATTTTGGCCCTTCCCTGCACCATGTCCCTGTGGCACCCAGTAGCTCTCCGTGCGTGGTTGTGCTTTCCTTCGGGAACAGCACTGGTGGGACCTGCTTGGTCAGGCCTCCAGGAAGATGGGGGGGAGGTTGACAGACCCATGGCACATCTCCCTTTCAGGCTGGTTATTTCTAGAGCCACCAAGCAGGGCTGGGTTTCCACAGTGCTTCAGAATGATAGAATCATTTAGATCAGAAAAGATCTTTAAGATCATCGAGACCAACTAGTAATCTAGTGCTGCCAAGTCACAGCTAAACCATGTCCCTAAGTGCTACATCTACACGCCTTTTAAATACCTGCAGGGATGGAGACTCAACCATGTCTCTGGGCAGCCTGTTCCAATGCTTGACAACTCCTTTAGTGAAGAAATTTTTCCTAATATCCAATCTAAACCTCCCCAGAAGCATCCTTGTGGCTGTGGAAGAGGGTTCTATCTCCAGACCTGATGTTATCCTCTATTTGCAGAAACCTGATGAAGAACATCATCAGGGAGTTGCTGGCTCACCATGGCCAGTCCCCAAGCACTGTTGGGGGAAAGGAAGGTGGCAAAAAGGTCCTATCCTGGGTCTTTGGATCAGCTTTGGCCTGAATCTGCCTCTTCCTTCAACTTCGGTTGTCTCGGAGAAGTGCGGGATGAGCCTAACCGCCGCTTTTCTCTCTCTCTTGTCTTCTCTTTGCCTTTCTTTCTTCCACGTAGGCAACTTTGTAAAGAATTTACAGATCTCTTGGCCCAGGACAGGACACCCATTGGAAACAGCCGGCCCACCCCTATTTTGGAACCGGGCATTCAGAGCTGCTTGACTCACTTCAGCCTCATCACTCACGGCTTTGGGGCCCCCGCTATCTGCGCTGCCCTCACGGCCCTTCAAAACTACCTGACTGAAGCTCTCAAAGGCATGGACAAGATGTTCTTGAACAACAACACTGCTAACAGGCACACATCTGGCGAAGGACCAGGTAGTAAAACTGGAGACAAGGAAGAGAAACACAGAAAATGAGAGAGAAAGAGAGAGAGAGAGAGAGAGAGGAAAAAAAAAAAAAAGAAAGAAAGGAAAAGCAAAAAGTTAAATAAATAAAAGGAGAAAAGAGAGAGAGATAATCTTTTAAAACAAAACCGTCTTAATTTTAGCTTTAAAAATATTGGATTGGGCTTTGGAAGAATTCTATTAGGTAGGACAAAATAATAATAATAATAAAAATAATAATAATAATAAAAGAAAGACAATAATTTAAGATCAGAGGAGCACAATGGCGCAAGACCAGTGGTTCAGAGTCTCTTGCCAGGAACATGTGAAGACAACCACCAGGATTTTTTTCCCACTTCTGTTCTTTCACATTTTTTAAATAATGATTGGGGGGAGGGGGATATAATAATAATTAATAATAATAATAAAAGAAAGAAATGAATAACTTATTGGAAGAAATCGGAGAAACATTTTTGGTGTCAGTGCTTTGATTTCTTGAGCTGCACGGTCTGTCTTGCTATTATTTTTATTTTATTCTTTTTTCTTTTTTTTTTTTTTTGGAACAATGTCCTGTCTCCACCCTAGTTAACACGACCTTCCAGAGCGTTCCTTTCCGAGCAACCCCATGGCCTCATTCCCCCCAACTCTCCCCATCTCATCTCACCACCACCCTGGTTCCTAGACTAGGAAAGGAGGGGAGGCGAGCGCACAGACCTCTCCCGAAGTCGCCAACACCAGCCAGTTCCAGCTGCGTTCACGGCAGCGTCTTAATGTTAGGCGGGCAGTTTCAAGGCGTCGTAGCTCAGTCAAATTAGCTAACTCGATTTTTTAAGACCTTCTTTGTTTTTCCTGGTCTAGACAGACTCTCTGTTTAGATTACCAGCGTTTACAGGTGTGTATGGGCGCGTGTGTGCATATGTGTGTGCATATGTGTATGCACACACATAACTTGATGGGGGTGCGTGTGTATCCTATGTATGTTTGTATATATATGTATATATTTGAATATATACATATATATATATTTAATATGTGTGTATAGCCACACATATTCATGCATGCAAACATACCTTTGTAATTTAGTACTTGCCTTTGATGGTAAAATGCCTTGTCTATAATGGGTTGCAAAATTTGAAAGTGAGGTCTGGTAAAACGTCAGCGCTATCTGAGTTCTTAATTTTCTGAGGTCTCCTCTTTTTCTCTAGGGAGTTTTATATTCCTAACTATGCCAATGTTTCAGTCTTTAATTTCTTTGAGTAGTGTGTGTGAGAGATACCTTCCCCCCTTTTTAAAGAACTGTTAACAACAACAAAAAATGAGTGATATGAGTATGTAATTCTTTCTCAGGAGTATGCACTATTTTATTTTCTTCTGTTTCCTAAAGCTTTGCCCGCTTGGCTTATGAGCTTCTTCAAAGAGGACTAGAGATCCCTACACAATATATCAGGTACAGAGAAAAAAAATCCACAATTCTGATATTCTGATACTTTTTTTTTTTTTTTTTTGCTTTTTCAAATCAAAGCCAGTTGTTTCCGAATTCTGTAGGTGCACTTCTTTAAAGAAGCTCAAAGGGAATAATTTGAATGAGATTAAAAAAAAAAAAAAAAAGAAGTTGAAATCGAGGTGTAATATTGCAAAGAAAATAAGAGCTGTGTTGAATGTTACCGCACTTGCTTGGCACTAGGGTTTTGTACCCAGGGAGGAAAGGGTTGCCATGTGAGTTGGCTCCTCGTGATGGGAGTGGGGAGGGTTTGCCAGGGAATATCCTGATTTCTGAGCTCAGTCAGAGGAAATGTTTCTCTTAGATAGTTTTTTTTTTTTTTTTTAAAAAAAAATATGTCTTGTGACTCTTGCTTTAGAACGAGTCGGTGTGGTAGGGGGAAAAAACTTCTTAACGCCAATGTTTTTCTCGGTGGTTTGGTGTGTGACAGGATGTCTTATGCGTATGATTTGGGGGTGGTGGTGGAGGGGGAGTCTGATTTCTTTCCTCTTCTTTTTTTTTTTAACATACGTTTCTTTGTCTTCTACGGTAAAAATAATGCTGAAGTGTAAGGATATGAATTTCTGTTTGGATTCTGCCGAGTTGGGTAATTGCATGTGTTTCTCAGTGGGGTAGGGTTCGTGCACTAACACATCTTCTTGCCTATGTCAGAACAGTTACTGGGTGTGGGTAAATCTCCTGGAGTCGCTGGCAAAACTCCAGTGGGGTCACTGTCCCCCCTCCCAGCATCCCTGTTAAAACTGTAGCGCTCAATCCCACCCGCCCAAGCAGGCACACCTGAACTCAAAACAAGGAAAGGGAGAGAGAGAGAGAAGAGAAGCCTTGGTTTAGTTTCTAGTTACCTTCCAAAGCAGATGGTGGAGAAGAAATAATTCAACAATACTCTCCACATCCCCCACCAAAATTTTCTGAAAACAAAAATTAAGCAAACGAGCCTCTTGATTACCCTTAGCATCCTTAGCTACTTGAGAAATGGCTACAGCTGAGGGCCTGCTCTGCTTTTCAAATCTTTGTGCAGCAAGCGAAGGTCTCTGCTCTTGTCCCCTACCTGTGAGTTGGACGCGTGTGTGGCAATAGAAACCCAGGAACCATCCGTCCCCAAGGACCACTGACCCTTCTGGAGCTGTTCCTCAGTCATGTACCCCCTTTGGTCTTGCTGGGGCAGAGTGCTGTGGGGATCCTCATGTGAGAAAAGGGGGAGATTGAGGCAAGCAGCCTTCTCCACAGGCTGCTGGGATGAGTTGGTGGTAGCCTTCAACCGTGACCGGTCCTTGGCAGCGTGTTTGGTAGTTGGTATGTCCCTGCTGATGTCACCAGAGGAGGTACAGATCCCTGGGTGATGTAGATCTCATGGATCCCCCACCAGTAGGTTGGGGACCCTCAGATTGAAGTGCAGCTCTCAGGGAACCCCTGGTCCTCCACAGATCCCCCCTTGCCAACCACCCCTGATTTCAGCAGGCCTATGGGGAAGGCCAATCCAAGCTCCAGTGCAGGGCATGCCCCAGCAGCAATGCATGGGAAATGGAAGGAGTATGTGTACGTGTATCTGGGGAGGAATGAACGGCACCACCTGAAAACACATCTCCCGACAGGACTATTCTGTTTATTAAAGCTGAGCACAAATTGTTGAACGTTGCTTTGCCTGCCCTCCGCAAAAAGCCATTGTGAGGAGCCCCTGGGCTCAGCCCTCCAGCATGACCCAGCTCTCCAGCACCTCCCAGCCCAGTGGAGCTCCTGGGTGTGGGGAGACCCTAAGATAGTTCTGTTTTCCACCTCCCCAGCTGCACACACAGGCACATGGGGACCTGCTCCCTGCCACCCCAGAACTTCCAGCTGAAGGCTTTGGGGGATGTTGGGGATGGTCCTCTTAAGTGCAGAAGGCAGTATAGAGTATCCCACCACCACTGTGAGTTAGTGGGGGGGAACCACTTGCTGCTTCTCACATGTGTGAGGGTCTGATCCTGCGGCTGAAATCTCCCCTAGGTTCAGGTTGGGTTGCCTGGAGCAGGACTTGAACTTCGGGAAGGTTGAGGGGAGAGTTTCAGTTGACCCTTGGTAACCCTCACACCTTCTGCCTGGAAGAGACAGACTGCAAAAGCCAGGCTGTGCCTCACTCCGGCAAAATAAAGGCTAACGTAAAATTCTGATTGATTTTGGTGGGCCTCCTCTCATTTCTTCCCCGAAGTTGGGAGTCAAAATCCACAAGGTTTCTGATTTAGATGCAAACAGGGAGAAAATACGACATAGGACTATACCCATCTCTGTTTTTCCCCCTAGCCTAGTGCTGGTCCCAGAGGGCAACGTCCATTGCTCCGTGGCTCCTCTCAGTGCTAAGGACTGAGGTTCCCCCAAAAACTAAACTCAGCCTCCCGCTGGAAAACTCTTTCCTGCTCCCCTGCACTTTCCCAGCCTGACTACTTCAGTTGGCGGGGCACCTCCGATGTTTATCTGATAATTGAGTTATTAAAAGATTTGGTTTCCTTGGGATCATAAATCAATAAACAGGAGGATTAACACGGCAGCTTTGCTTTTTAACTCAAGGGAAAAGTTTGAGGAGAGACCGGGAAAAGTTTGTTTTCAAACCAAACAGGTGGGTTTGCTGTAAATTTTATTTCGATCTTAGTTTCACTTTTTTTTTTTTTTTTTTAATAACAATTCTCTATTTTCTGTGGGAAAGATCTTTGGTTTTGTATGCTACCTGACTTCCCCCCCCTCCCGCCCCGGTTGTTATTCACACAAGGTGTGAAGGAAACAAGAAGCCAATTTTATGGGAATCCTTTTACAACCCGAGGATTTCTTTAAAATCGGGTGGTGTCTTGTCCCACCTACTAGAAATTCTCTGTGAGAAGCTGTTTCAAGTCCCTTTGCATCCCAGACGAACCTCTCCCCCCCAAAAAATCCCCCAAATTTGCATTTGGGTCTGGGTGGGAAGGGGGAGAATGGTTTTAAGTCCTTTAGCTGTGCCCAAAGGGCTTATTCCCTTCCCCTGCTCATCTCTTTCTGACCGGTTTATCACGCAGACCTATTCTGCTCTGTTTTAATACGTTTCTCGGAGAATTTGGTGCTCGTTTCAGCTGCCGTTAAGCATTGCCAGATCGATCCGGCCAAACTCCCCCTCCCCTCCGGCTTCCCTGTGTGAGAGAGACCGCAGGCTTTTTACAAATAGTATATTTTCTTATACAAAGGGAAAAAAAAAAAAAAAAGAGTAGAAAATATCCCCAAACACACTGGCAAATGCCTGAACATTTCGCGAGGGACGAAACATTGTGTGCCAGCGAGAACTAAAGGAAAAAAAAAAACCAAACAACCAACCCCAAACAAAGCTCTCAAAAAATGAATGAGAAAGTGGAAAGATGAAAGAAAAAAAAATAATAAATTCTCCTTTTATGCCCCAAACGATCCCTTTCACCTCCTCTTCTTGAAAAATCTGACCATGCAGTGAGAAATATCAGTTTATCGACTCTTCCTGAGAAGAAATGCGGAGAGGCATTCAGTATTGAGTTTGTATATATTTATTTATGCTTAATTTAACGGG